GCGACCCTGAGCGGGCGCTGCGTAGCGCTTTTTTTAAGGTAGGTGCCCTTATAAGGCCCTATCAAGCTGCAACATACGAACCCGAGTGTCCAACGCGCCCGCCCGCCCACACGCCATGCTGGCATTTTAGGCCAACAGCCGGACACTCCATATCCCAGAGATGAGGAGCCCGTGCCTGCTTACTCCACTTGAGCGTGGCGGCGGCTGCGCTTTTTGAGAGATCGTGCAGTTTCAAAACAGTTGCAGCCATGAATTTGTCCAGTACAAAACTTGTATCAAATGGAAGTATCACACAGACTGCGCATCCTATAGCCATGTTCAAATAAGGAACGCAGTCACGCTCACTCCATCGCTGGCATGTGGAGGGTAAGGAGACGCCTGAAGCGCAGTCCGGGCGAGATTTTCCGCCAACGATGCCATTCTGAGCCCGCAGCAGTTGGTGCAGAAGGCTGCTCTGAATGCGTTCCCCTTTGCGCCCCGCATGTTCACTCGTTTGTAGAGTTAATGGCTGACCCTACTTCGTGAGCGACTAGGGATTCTGGACGCCTAATCGCTTCTCTTTTTGTCTTTTTATTCAAATTTGGATTATGATTATTATTGATTTGGATTAATTTGCATTCATATTTTATTCACACTTGTGTGACACCGAACTAATGCTTCGGAACTGAGTTTTTTTTCAAATTGTATGGATATTTACAATTAAACTCTAAAGTAAAGTAACTAATTCAGCTCGAAGGACAAATCTTCCCGGGAACCGCTGCTGAGCTCTTTCCACAACCAGGCTATGGATGTCTCGCATTATGCTGAAACCAAGAGTAGAGGTTCATCCCCACGGTAAGACACTTTGTTTCGTGATGGCAGCTGCAATCTGCTTCCACCGGCGCCAACTTTTGTCGGCGCTATTCGTCTTGGGAGGGGCATTTTGCACTTCACTAGTTCGTTTTTTCACAGTTCCTCTTTTGATTGCACGTCACACCTTGATAAGACCTGTAGACCTTGTCTAGTGTGAACGAAGCTATTGCTACTTCACAGGTCTCCACAGGGGTGGGGACGGGCAAGAGAATCGCAGTTTG